TCAAAGTTACGTTTTTGATATTTTTATTATTAATGCATCAATAATGAAACTTTATGTGCATCAAAAACGTAACTTTTTTATCAGTTTACATAGAAATTGAGCGTCCTCCGCTACGCTCCGGACAATAATTAAATTTGGTATTTTCAAGATATTAAATCAAACAAATAATCTAAACTCTTGTTTGTATTTATTATTTTCTTGCTTAGAAACTAATTTAATAGTTTTATTATTAACGTTAATAATATAGAAATAGAATGTCGCCTGATTAAAGAAGCATAAAAGTGTGGAATTTTTGAAAAGATTTCAAGCTATTGTTTTTTTTACAAGGTTTGCAAAAACTTTATTTTTATTTGTAAACAAGAAAACAAAAAAAAAACTGTTTTAATAATATATTTACGATTTGCTTATTTAGAACTTTACTCTTGACTATCGTGGCTGCTATTTCGAAGAATTTTTGCAACACATTTTTTTACAAAGAATAAATGCAAAAAGTTCACAACAAATAACTGTTCAAGATTTTACCTACTTTAAAGATATCGCTAGTCAATGGTTAACTATTAAACTTAGCGATAGAAGTGTCAGGACAAAGGCAGAATCAATTAAAGAAAATATAGACTCAACAGATATCACGTAAAATCATCGAATCTTTTGAAAGATTCCGAATTAGTCAGCGTGAGCAACAGCAAAGCGAACACCATAACGATAAACACAGTTAAGAAGCGATACAACAAGACGGCCAACATGAAGGCTTTTAGGAAAATCAAACTGTAGAATAAAGAAAAGATTTTCACTCAATTGATAGAAGAAGTTTTCAGCTTGCTTACGCAAAAACGATTTTGTGATGTAAAAATTTATATGATGACACTGTAATTTTACGCACACGATCATCATTCTTAATGAGATTCTATGTAGCACCAAAATACTATACAAAATTTCCATACCGGATATTTCACCCAAAGCATTTGAAACATTATTAAATTAATTAACTTGTTTATATTAAAATGGTAGTATTTTTATATTAGTTACATGTAGGGACGGTCATTTTCGGCTAGCCGTTTTGTAGCCGTTAGCTGAATCTCACGATCCGGTACTCCAAATTGGATTACTGGATCATAAGATAGCCGCGATTTATCCGGTCGACTAAGCTGGAAATGGCCGACCGTTACCATCCCTAGTTACATATACTATGAAAACATTTCGCTGAATGATTTTTCAGTCTTTAGAAATTTCCGAACTCTAGTTCATGGCGATCAAATTTAATCTAAAAGAAGTCATTGATTCATCACGTTCACACGTTGAGGGCTAATTTCATTTAAAGATTTTTTCTTCATTAATTTGTAATTACTGTAAATAAAGGAATTAGCAATGCAAATAGCTTAATAAAGTCAATTATTCAGTTATTATTAATATAGTTTAATATAAAAAAA